GTGCTAGTGTCTTCTGCAGTTGTACTGGGTGGACTCGGGGCCTGAGACTGCATTTTGTTCCTTCTCTTTGTCATTTTGTATACCTGTCTTCTGACCTTTGGTGTAGAGCTTAGATAGAGTTATTACCTTAGCACCAGGTCCGGATCTACGAAGTTCGGATTCCTCCAGGCGGGTGTTGTTTGGATCTGGCTGCTGTGCTCCACTTCTTTCTCCTGCAGCCATTAGAGTTGAACCCTTTGCGTCTCTCTGGGAAGATGTTCTGCTCCTGAATCAGCTGGGTGGGTCTTGTCTCTAGCCTCTTTGTAGGGAGTTCTGCTGAAGGGTTCCGTGCTGGGCCTGTGCTCTGGGTCTATTCAGGATCCCGCGGCCTGGGTCATCTCACTCACTCACGGGTCCTGCACTCTGGGTCTGTTCAGGATCCCGCAGACCCCTGGTCGTCTCACTCACTCGCGGGGCCTGCGCTCTGGGTCTGTTCATGATCCCGTGGCCTGGGTCATCTCACTCACTCTCTGGGCCACTGAGATTTCTTGCTAATAGCCATTGTCTCTAGAGTGAGAAGGAATATCAGTGTTCTTTAACTTGTATCTCTCAACCAGTCATGTTAAAGGTTTTTTCATATATTGACTTGCAGTTTCTACTTCTTTATCTGAGAAGTATCTGTTCATTTCAGATGCCCATTTTTGTTTTAGTAAGGGTCTACTGGGTCTCACTACGTAGGTCGTACTTTAGTGATCTGCCCATGTTCAGCCTCCAGATGCCCATTTTTGGATTGGGTCTTTAAATATGAGAGCTGCATATAGTGGTACATTCTTGTAATCCCAGTGCTTGTGTTGTAGGCAGCTAAGTTAGATAGAGATAGTATAGGCAGTCAGACAGGGCTAGGCCCTCAAAGGAGATAACACAGAAAACAAGGAATCTTAGGATTGTAAGAGGGATGTGTGCTCCTGCTGTGGGCCAGACCTAAAGACCAAAAATACAATAAATGCCTACCTCCTGAAGGATAAGCATCTGGGATTGATTATCACCTTGAGGAAGCCAAGAAGAGTCACTAACCCAACAGCAATCAGCTGGCTACTGCATAAACTCCTGTTTTATATCCATGCCTCCTTGCTACGTGACTTGCTTCCTCATTTGATTCCAGATTTAATCAGTTTTACCTGAGCAATGGTGCTTGTAATCTCATTGGTTGACCATAGTTTTGTCCCACACCATACCCACCTAGGCAAGTTCCAGAGTTCTCTACCTTAGACCCACCTCACCACATGGTTTTACTCTATAAAAGTCCCTGGAGACAGCTTCATAGGTAACCCATTTGGGTCTCCCTTTTTTCCCTCAGACAGAAGCTTTCTTTCCCCCAATAAATATTCTACTCATAACCTCTGTTTGTTCCTGAAATTCATTCTTTGGTTTTAGAGAATGTGAACTCATCCCAGATATCTTTCAGGTTGGGAGTTTCATTTCCCCTCTATCAGTAGGAGGCTTAGGCAGGAGGATCACTCTGTGTTCAAGGCCAGCCTGGGCTCCATAGCAAGGTTTGAGGGTTCTGTTTTGTTTGTTTGTTTAGTTCTTTATATATTCTAGATATTTGTCATTTGTCAGAGGGGTAACTGACAAAATTTTTTCTGACTTTTTGGTTGGTCCACTGACTCTGTTGATTTCTTTTGGTATTCAAAAGCTTTTTAATAGGGCCAAGGATATAGATCAGTGGCACAAGTGCCTGCCTGGGAAGCACAAGTCCTCAATTTAATTCCTGGTATTGCCCCCAGAAAACCCCTCCCTCCAAAAAACTGGCTTTTTAATAAGATAGGATCCCAGTTGTTGATTCTTTGTGGAGGTTACTGTGCAGTAGAGGTTTCGTTTGTTAAGTGTTTGACAATGCCTGTGTTTTGAAGAATTTTATCCTTATCTTCCAGAAGATTTTTTATTTCTGCTTTAGTATTTAGATCTTTGATCATTTTGATTTTAGTTTACTGCATGGGAGAGATAGGGTCTAGCTTTATCGATAGCCATGTAGACAGTCAACTTTTCTAGCACCATTTATTCAACAGACTGCCTTTCCTCCAGTGAAGGTGTTTGACCTTTTTCTTAAGATAAGGTGGCTGAGTGTGTTTGGAGTTGTTTCTTTTCTTTTCTTTTTTTTTTTAAAGACCAACTTTTCTTTTGGAGTTGTTTCTGCATCTTCTGATCTGTTCCACTGATCCTTGAATCAGTTTTTTTTTTTTTTTTTACTTTTGTAAGGTGTTGAAATACATCCTTTCAGATGGTATGGACTTTGATTGTTTTTCTATAGGGTGATAATGAAATACAAGAAGAGGATTCCTGTAAGGCCCCCTTGAAACCAGAGTCACAGCTAGATCTTAAGGTGCAGGAGCTAATAAAGTTGATCTGTAATGTGCAAACCATGGAAGAGATGATGATTGAAATGAAGTATGACACCAAGAAAGTCCCACTTGGTAAGACTTAGGTTCTGTCTTACATTCTCTTGTGTTTCTTAATTTCTTTAATGGGTATTTCATCAATGATTTAAAGCTTTCTGAGGGTACTGAATGAAAAAAACCCTGGATTTAGAGTAAAAGTTTGTATTGTGTATGTGGATGGATGGGTGGACTATTGTAAGAGTTAAAGGTGAGAGGCTCTGTTGAGCAGGGATGTAAGTATACCTTACAGGATGGATCCTTAGTTTGGACTTTGACCTGTGTGTTGGGGCCTCCAGGAAAGCTGACAGTGGCGCAAATCAAGGCAGGTTACCAATCTCTTAAGAAGATTGAAGATTGTATTCGGGCCGGTCAGTGTGGACGAGCTCTCCTGGAAGCATGCAACGAGTTTTATACCCGGATCCCACATGACTTTGGGTAAGATCTGTGCTGTGGCTTCACTTTGTTCTTCTGCCTACTGATATTGCCGAAGTCAATGAGTGGCAGCCAGAATCCTCTTTAATTTTTTGTTCCTAAAGAAATTATAATCATAAATAGTGGCAAAACAATTTATAGGTAGCTTATCTATAAATTTGTTTATTTAAAAATATGAGATGTAGAGGGCTGGGGAGGTGGCTCAATAGAATAAGGGCCTGAGTTCAATCCCCGGTTCCACAAAAAAGAGAGAGAGAGAGATAGCTCTCGCTTGATTATCACTATATTCACTAGAAGTTAGTTACCAACTCAAGAGAATGGGTCTGGCTGTCTAACCACTTAGTAAAGTACCTGCAAGTTATATCACTCTTTTTATTTTCTAAGGTCACTATAATCAAACTAATATATCTAATATGTATTTAATATTCCTTCATATATTTGGGGTTTAAATCTTTTCACTGGCCTGTTTGTCTTTCAAATGGAAGCAGCACATTTTCTTAGTTTTGTTTTTTTTCTCTCTCTCTTTTTCTTTTCGTTTTGAGAAAATCTCATTTTGTAGTTCAGGTGTCCTTGAACTCATTATGTAGTCTATGCTGGCCTTGAGCTGGCAACAGTCCTCCTACCTCAGCCTCCAAAGTCCTGAGATTACAGGTTACCATACCTTTCCTAAAAAATACATTTCTAAAGAACATTTTTTTTTTTTTTGGCAGAACCAGGAATTGAATTCAGGACTGTGCACTAGCCAGGCAAATGCTTATTACACTGAGCCATCTTCCCGGCCCCTAAAGAACCTATATTTATTTATTTATAGTTTGAGACAAGGTCTTGCTATGTAGCCCTTACTGTGTAGCCCAGGCTGGTCTGGAATTGGTAGCGATATCCTGCCTTAGCCTCTTGAGTGCTGGAATTACAGGTGTGCACCACTAAAGGAGCCATTTTTAGTCTGTTGTTTGTAGTCACATATTTTAGCTGTAATTAGATAATTATGTGTTATGTCTGCCCTCAGACTCCGTACCCCTCCATTAATCCAGACCGAAAAAGAACTGTCAGACAAAGTACAACTACTAGAGGTGAGTTACAAATGGGTTAGCATGGAGGACCACCTCGGTGACTCCTTGAAGAAGGAGCTGTTGCCTCCTTTTGGCTGAACCTGACGCTGTTTCCGTGTGTTGATATGTGCAGAGCTGGCTAAGACTTTTCCTTATTCTTTCAGTTTACTTTTAGTGATGAATACTGGTCCAGCCAAGGTGCTGATGGTACTCTTTAAAGACAGCAGGCGACATTTCCTCAGACCCTGTTGTTCCCTTGTGTGCATCAGGATGGGCTGTAGAGCCAGTATTCCACCGTGGCACTGTTAGTTGGGATCCTCTGGATCAGGCTCAAGACAGAGGCTAGGTTTTCCCTGGGCATAAAAGATTACACATCAGAGCTGAAGCATGGACCCCGAAACACTGCCTGCTCCCTTGGTTGTGTTATACAGATTACTCTTTCTGCACATCCTTTCTGCATATCACACAAGTGATTTCAGGCCTCCGGCCTAGCCCTGCTCACAGTGCTCACCTGTTTCCCGCCAGTCTCACAGTCACTCATCCTCAGGCCACACCCTTCTTCATGGATTAACACAGCTCAGGTTAAGCCCTGGATCAAGACCTTTGCTCTGGTGAGCCATCACCGTGGCTGGAGTTAGGACCCCATGGCTCCCCATAAGGACAAATATGCCTCAGTGTCTATTCTCACCATAGGTTGCACTGAAAATGGTAGATTGGAATTAACACTGAAATTCCAATAACTTTCCATGGGATTCCAAATATAAACTTCCTGGGCTGTGATGAGGACCAAGAAGGGCTCTCTGTAGATTAGCCTGTAGTACTTCTCTTACCCCAGGTTCCCTGACAATGATTATGTACTTTTTCAGGCTCTGGGAGACATTGAAATTGCCATGAAGCTGGTGAAGACAGAACTCCAAAGCTCAGAACACCCATTGGATCAACACTATAGAAACCTGCATTGTCATCTGCGACCACTAGAACATGAAAGTTATGAGTTCAAAGTAAAAAAAAATCATTTCTTTTCATACTTTTATACTCATAAGACCCATATCCCCTATTCTCCTGCCTGCTCTGGTTAAAGAATTTCTCTCTGCCAGCAGCTTGGGAAAATAGGCTTTTTCTCTGCCTTAGATGCCCATTAGGAGCAGGAGTTTCTGCCACGTCCTGCCTGAAGCCCTTAGTTGTTCATTTCAGGCCCGTCTCCTCAGAGCTCACGTCAGTCATTCCTTCCGCTGCTCTCCACAGGTGATCTCCCAGTACCTGCAGTCTACCCATGCTCCTACACACAGTGACTACACCATGACCTTGCTGGAGGTTTTTGAAGTGGAAAAAGAGGGGGAGAAAGAAGCCTTCAGGGAGGATCTGCATAACAGGTCTGTGTCTGCTTTGAGCCTGGGAACACATGTCCTTGCCCGAAGTGCAGTTGAGGACCTTGAGGTAGCAGAGGCGGCTTGTGGCTTCTTTATGTCTGTGGCCTGTTTACATGAGAGCAAGAGTACAGTAACTGCCTTCTCGTAGGACGCTGCTGTGGCACGGCTCCAGGCTGAGTAACTGGGTGGGAATCCTGAGCCACGGGCTTCGCATTGCCCCGCCAGAGGCCCCCGTCACAGGTTACATGGTGAGTAGAGCTTGAGCCCTGGGTAGGACACGGGAGAAGGATTCCAGTTACTCAGTGCTGTCCTTTTCTTATCCTCCAAGTGAGCATTAGGCAGTACTGGACTAGGGATATAACCCAGTGGTAGAGTGCTTGCCTAGCATGCCCAAGGCCCTGAGTTCAATCCTCAGTACCAACAAAAACAAAAAACCCAATTAGGCAGTACTTTTCCCAAAACTTAAACCAGCCCACTGATAACTTCTTGGTGTCTTACTGCATTATTCTTTCTTTAAATTCCAAATGATACTGTTCCATAGCCTCAGAATGCCAAGATTCACAGATAATTCCACTCTTTGAGGAAGAAAACTGTGAAGTATTCTATACAAGTCTGTATTTTGTTGAAAAGAACAGCAAAAAAAAAGTCAGTGTTATGAGCCCTCCTTCTAATATAATGGATTAAGCAAATGAACTTCATTTTGTTTATTGCAGTTTGGAAAAGGCATCTACTTTGCTGATATGTCTTCTAAGAGTGCCAACTACTGCTTTGCCTCCAGAATAAAGAATATAGGGCTGCTCCTTTTATCAGAGGTGAGAAAGGAACATATCTGTGACCGTCAGTTTATTTTTATCGTTTTTTTTTCAGTGAGGAGGGTTTGACCTTAGAAATAAAGAGGTTTACCTCTGATGACTTGAGGGTTGCTAAGGGGAATTTCTGTTGTATTAGATTGCTTTTCTGGAGGTAAGGAAGAAAATTCAGATGGCATTTCTCTGTAGATCAACAGTATTCTCAGTAGGATAGAGGAATTCAGTGATCCTTTACTTTGCAGGTAGCTCTGGGTCAGTGTAACGAGCTACTAGAGGCCAATCCTAAGGCAGAAGTATTACTTCAGGGCAGACACAGCACAAAGGGCCTGGGCAAGATGGCTCCCAGTCCTGCCCACTTCGTTACCCTGTAAGTACTCAGCCAACATAAGATGCTGCTTTCTCAATTTTGATTTGGCACCAAAGACTAACGCTGACATGTTTTCTTCTCTTTGGCAGGAATGGGAGTACAGTACCCTTAGGCCCAGCAAGTGACACAGGAATTTTAAATCCAGAGGGTTATACACTCAACTACAATGAGTATATTGTCTATAACCCTAACCAGGTCCATATGCGATACCTTCTGAAGGTTCAATTTAATTTTCTGCAGCTGTGGTGAGTGTTGCTGTCATACCAGGGAAGATACACTCTTCAAGCAAGAAGATAAGCACTGCTTCACTTTTAAACTTTTTTTTTTGGATGTTTGAGGCAAGGTCTCACTGCATATTCCAGTGTCACCTGAACTCACCATGAGGTCAGGCTAGTCCCACACTTGTGGCACCTCCTCCCTGTGCCTCCCAGATCTGCACCACTGTGTGCAGACTGAACTTTTAAAAATTTTTCCCAGTCATGAGCGTTGAGCCCTGGGTCTTAACACTGAAGTACATCTGCAACCCTCCATGTTTTTTCTTGAGACAGGATCTCACTGAGTTGCCCAGAGTAGGCTTGAAATTATAAATCTTCTGTCTCAGCCTCCCAGAGTGTTGGGAATACAGATATACACCCCCCACACAGCCTTTTTGATACTTTATATAATAAAATTGAAAAGGTAGAAATGTACCAATGGCTTCTTTGGGCTTTGCTTTTCCGAACACTTACTTCTTTGGACATTAGTGTATTTCCAGGACAGAAAGTGCCCCTTGCTCTATCCTACAACTAACTGTGGGTTACTCATTGCTCTGTTCTTCCACAGCAGAGTAGGCTGTGTGTTGAGGGACACTCATGGGCGTTAATGCTTTTCCCCACTGGATTCAGTTTCCTGCAAACTAGTATTTTCTTTAACATTACTATAGTAAGGGTAAAGGTCCTAAAGGATAAATTGTTCCCTTTTATGCCCCTCCAAATTGTGGTTGTATTTTCAGTGTCCATTTGCAGACCAGGTCTCTTTAACATTATTCCTATTAGATGTCCACCAATTTGGAGAGCCCTCAGACAACTCTCACTAATCCTCTGTCTGTCTTGTGAAAGAAAGAAGTTTTTGCATATTCTCTAACGAAGAAGTACTAACATACAGGTCAGAGCAAAGTTTCCGGTTATTTTTAAATACATGTAACAACTTGCTTAAATAAAAATGAAGGTTGTTTGTTCACTTAATTCCTTTGAACACAGGGCCTCATACATAATAAGCAAAATATGCTACTAAGCAACCTACCCATCCCCCTGAAAGTTGTTTAATTGAAAATAATATTCTGTAGCTTTTTAGAAACCAGATTGTAGCTCTTCTCGGCCCTCTTTGCGGCCTACAAAGTATATATTTATAATCCCATGGAAAGTTATTGGAATTCCAGTAACTTAATTCCAACCTACCATCTCCAGTGTGACCACCTTCATGGTGAGAATAAATAGAGTGAGGTATGTTTAATTCTGGGGAGTGAAGGGATCCTGTATCTAGCAATGGTGGTGACTAACCAGAACAAGAGCCTCAACCCATGGCTCAACCTGGGTTTTATTAATTCATGAAGAAGGGTGTGGCTTGAGGATGAGTGATTGAGAATGGCTCCAAGTAGGTGAGAGCTGTGAGCAGGGCTCGGCAGGAGGCCTGAAATCCCCTCTGCAATATGCAGAGAGACATAAGCGCAACTGAGGTAGTATCTAATTTTAGTTTTGGGGTCCATGCTTCAGCTCTGATGTGTCATCTTTTATGTCCAGGGAAGCCACAGCCTCTGTCATGAGCCTGATCCCAGTGATCCCAGGCCATAGCGTGAACCCAGCTCACATGTTTTCTTGCAGCTGTGTGGTGGGGGAAACTGTCCTGTTGCCTTGCTTCGAACACTACCACCATCACCTCTGCTGGACGATTTGTACTGTTTACAGCCAACTGAGGCAATAAGGAAAAGGCCTAGCCAGCTCTGCACCATCAATATAGGGAAATAGCACTGAGTTCAGCCATTCTGGAAACCATTGTTCTCCCAGGAAAGATGCCCAGATGGTCCTCTACACCAGATTACCAATGTTCTTTTAAATAAAATTTTTTTTGTCCTTGTTGTCTTTTTGAGACAAGATCTCATTATACAGTTCAGGCTGGCCTTGAACTCATTTTGTAGACCAGCTTGACCTTGAATTTACAGCAAGAATTAAGTCTTCTGCCTCAGCCTCTCAAGTGCTGGGATTATAGGCATGCACAGCATGTCTGCCCATAGATTCATTACTAGTATCTATTATTTTTAATTTAATTTATTTTAATGTGTTTGGTACAGGGTCTCATTATGCAGCTTGGACTCTTAGTGATCCTCCTGTTTTCAGCCTCCTCACTGCTACGATTACAGGCATGTGCCACCATGCCAGGACTGGGTCTCTGAATGCACCTGAGGGTGGGGCCGGCGTGGCATGTGGTTGCCTAAGCAAGTGATTACTCTGCTGAGCTATCTTGCCAGCAATTACCAATATCTACTTTTTTTCCAATATATTTTAAATGCGTATATACTTTCACATAACACTGCATCAGTTATGTCATTGCAACATTGGTGGGTAAGAAAAGAGCATAGAAAAAGAATAATATATCCATTCATGGGATTATTACACTGCTATCAAAATTGAAGGAGGGGCCCACAGGACCCCTCCAGACCAAATTCAGGCACTTGCGTGAGACCCTCTACTGCACCCTCGGGACCCCTGCAACTCTCCAGAGTCCCCACCCCCAAGTCCGCAGAGTGAGAAATTCTGCGACTCTCTCAGGACCCCAGATCCAGTCCAAGCCCAGACCCAGCTAGTGTGTGGGAGAGCTTCTGTGCTCCAATGTGCTCCCTGGGCCAGGGGCACAACAGAGGGGCACCACAGGTTCACTTTTAATGACTGCAAGCAGCAGCTGAACAAAACAGCTAGACCTAGGGCAGACATAACTGGATAAAGTCAAACTTAATAGATCTGCACCCGAATTTCAGTAGGAGCTAAGGTTATAACTACCAAAGCTCTACACCAAAGGTCAGAGGTCAGTGCTATATGAAAGAAATGACAAAGACAAGGAGCAAAATGCAATATCAGGCCTCGGCTTACCCATAACAAGTGCAGAGGACATTAGCTTAGCTGAAATGAATGAATTAAAAGCTTTGGAAATAAAGAAACAAAAGCAGAAAGTTACAGAGGAACTCAGAGCAGAATTAATTCCTGAAATGAAAAAAGAAATCTCTGAATTCATAGATTCTGAAGTAAAGATTCTAATGCAGAAACATGAGGGGAGCCAATGCCCACCCAAACAAGTGCAGAGGACACTAGCTCAGCTCCAATTATGAATTAACAGCATTGCAAGTAAAGAAACAACAGCAGAAAGGTAGGGAGGAACTCAGAGCAGAATTAATTTCTGAAGTAAAAGAAATCTTTGAATTCATACCATCTGAAGTAAAGAATCAAATACAGAAACATGGAGGAAAGCCAATCTGAAAACAACTGCAATAAAAGAATAACTGCTTATAAAGAAGACATTGATAAAAAACAGAGGAGATTAGAAATATGATGGATTCCTTGAATGAGCAATACAGGAAAGAAATAGATCGCAGGAAGCAGAGTCAAAGAGATACAGAGGAAGTTAAAATCTCAATCACAAGCCTACAAAACCGTTAGAGTGAAAGTGAAGACAGTTTCAGATCTTGAAGATGCTGGTGCAGCTAGTGAAAAGGTAAGAATGAATCTCTTAAAAACAACCAGGATGCAGGAAAAAATAATCCATCACCTGCAAGACAATGCAAAGATGAACAATGTGAGACTAATAGGCATCAATGATAAAGATGGAGTCAATACAAATGATATAAAAAGAATATGGGCAGAAGTAATAGCAGAAAACTTCCCAAATATAAGGAAACAATCTGACATTCAGGTAACCAAAGCATACAGGATGCCAAATAACTTCAACCCAATTAAAAACACACCAAGACATATAATAGTCAAGATCCCAGAAATCCAGCACAAGAATAATATACCGAAAGAAGATGGAGAAAAGAAGCAGATAACATTCAAAGGAAACCCATCAGAATAATGGCAGACTTCACAAACCATGAAAGCAAGAAGAGCATGGAGCAGAGTACTTCAAGTCCTCTATGAAAACAAATTCCAGCCCAGACTACTATACCCTGCAAAACTCTCTTTCAAGTGTGATGGAGAAGTGAAATACTTCCATGACAAAGAACAACTAAAGAATTTCATGATGACAAAGACAACCCTACACAGACTACTGAAAGATGTTCTAGAGAGGGACCAAAATGATCAGAACTCCATGAATGAGAACAGAAGGAACCTACTAACTAGGGAAAACAATTAAACAGACCAAAAAGGAATAAACCACAGCAGGTAAATAACATGTCAATCATAAGTCAATATATCTCAATTCTAACCATCAATGTAAATGGAATCAATTCACCAATTAAGAGAAATAGACTGGCACAGTGGATTAGGAAATAAAATCCAACAATATGCTGTATACAAGAAACACATTTAACTCATAAAGACATTCATAGGCTGAAAGTCAAAGGATGGAATGCAATACTACATGCCCCCGCACCTCAGAAAAAAGCAGGGGTAGCAATCTTGATCTTAGACAGTCTCAGGCTGGGGAGATGGTTCAGTGGAATAAGTGCTTCCCTGGCAAGCACAAGGACCTGAGTTCAATCCCCAGTTCCACCAAAAAAAGGAAAAAAAATCATTTTTCACTTAGTCTCAACTTCAAAACAACAATGATCAAGAGAAATAAAGAAGACCACTATATACTGGTTAGGGGAAAATTTCAAGAGGAAGAGGTAACACTCATAAATATCTATGCACCAAACATAGGAGCACTCAACTATATAAGACAAATCTTAATGGACATGAAAAATCTAATACCCAAGACCACAATCTTAACAGGAGACCTTAACACCCACTTATATCCAAAAGACAGGTCAACCAGACAAAAAATTAGTAAAGAAGTAGCAGAACTGAACCAGAGCTTGGAACAAATGTACCTGCTGGACATATACAGAGTGTTCCACCCAACGACAGCTGAATACACATTTTTCTCAGCTACACATGGGTCATTTTCTAAAATAGACCACATACTGGTCCATAGGTCATGCTTAAGTATATGCAAAAAAACAGAAAATATTCCATGAATATTATCTGACCACAGTGCAATGAAACTGGAAATAAGTGACAAAAGAAACCAGACAAAAAAACCCTAAATACACAGAAATTAAACAACACCCTACTCAGCAATCAATGGGTCACAGATGAAATTAAACAAGAAATTCAACAAAATCTACAATTCAATGAAAGTTCAAGCACGGATGTGATGGGATGTGATGAAAGTTCTCAGAGGAAAATTCATAGCTGTGAACTCACACATTAGGAAAACAGAATGGGAACAAATAAACACCCTAATGCTGCACCTCTGACATCTTGAAAAGGAAGAGGAAACCAAACCCAGAGCCCAAAGACGACAAGAAATCATAAAGATTAGAGCAGAAATTAATTCAATTGAAATGAAGAAAACAGT